CCCCCTCCGCCCCCCCCTCCTGCTCAGCTTGCTGGCCCCAGTCACCCCGAGGACAGGTTCGGTGGCCACAGCTCTCATCTCTCGAGCTCGGCGGACCCTGACTGGGAAGGGCATAACTACAGGGCCAGACCCGGTTACAGTAAGGTCAGCCCAGGTGGTGAGCCCTCCTACCCTCCGAGTCCCAGGGTGGCTCAGCGTGATGCCACTGAGGTAGCTTGCATTCCTAATGAGCAGCATGATTGCTTTTGTTAGAAAGGAAGATTAGCCAGCTTAAACCTTTATACATCTTATCAGCTTTGTTTAGTTGTGAATGCAGTGTGAGCATGGTATTCTGTTTGCAGTGCAATATACAGCACAAACTCTCATGTATGTAATGACTAATGTAATGAAAGTTTGCACTTCTAATTTGCCTCCATCCTGTTGTTTTCTTTTTAAACATATTTTGTGTGTCTCCGGGCTGTACGTTAGAATTTAAAATATTTTTCTGAAATTGAATGAGTTGGGTGATTTCTGACATCAGATTTCAATTTTAATGGAATAATGTGCACTACAGTTGCTTGCATGTTTGGTTTGTGAGTGTTATTTGTTTGAAGTTTGATGGAAAAAAAAGTTAAGTTCTGCATTTTTCTACTCTGTATCTTTGCTTGTCAAAGTCAAACATTATTAAACATTGAAAGTATACTCAAATAAGTCACTGATATGCAATAGCTTTTGCTCATTACTCTATATTTTCTCAATAGTAGTTTGAGTTGCAACTTTGTTTTTAATGCGGTTCAGGTTATGAGAAATACATCTCATGCCAGCAGAATTTCAACCTCAAGCAATCCACTGGTACGTAACAGTCTTTAATCTAACATATTCTGAAACTGGCTCTTAATTTGGTCATTAAATGAATGCCAGTATTCCAGGGAGATGTGTGGCCTTAAAGAATATTGCTGGGTTTGGTTGTGGTTTTGAAGCTGGTTGGAGTTAGTTTGACTGTTAGGCAACACTGTTGTACAGTACAGGGTGTTGTCTTTTGTGAGAAAGAAGGTTAGATGCTTTCAAGTAAATTGATAAATTCGAAATGACAAAATACCAGGAATAGAATAGATAGAAGTTGACTACAAAGGTCACACCAAAGATTGTAGATTAATTTCCCCGTTGGGTTTTTGGAGGAAATGTTGCTTTTAGTATGCTTGTGTACTGTGTGTTGGAAATAATCACAGTGCCTTTTAAATTGTGTTGTTGAGAATCGCAAGGAGGTTTTAAAATTGGAATATTGTAGAATACATACTTCTATATTACAGAAAAAAAGATATTTCTTAAAAAGTTTAAAGTTATCATACCACTCAAATGTCCCATCAGAAGAAAATATACAGGTAGTTACTATCATGACATTAGATGGCAGCAGGCAGCTGTGTGGTGTGTATTAAAATTTTATGTGGGTGACGAAGCAGATTCTTACATTAAAAGGAATAGGAATTTAACCTGGTAATATTATAGTGGGTGATTTTGAATGACAAGTGCATTCATTTAAAATTCAATTATAATGTGACATTTTAATTAACTCCAGGCCATTTCTGCAGGACCACTGCAATGTGGAATCACATGAATACGACCAGCTCTCCACTACCTGAAAGAATCAAATGACACCTCGCTTCAGCGAGAGAAAGTGGTCAATTTTCCCCCCAAAATGTTAAAAAGTTAAATCAGTCCTCAAAACGAATTCTGAAATTATAAGGTCTTAGGAAGCACACGCACCATTCTAACCCCCCTAAAACCTCTATAATGATCTCTCTGGGTGGGGGGGTGATTCATTTTTCTGATGCATTTTATTGCTGTTTTGGTCCTGATTCACTTCATAGCAATTAGCTCCCAGTCCGCCCAGCCAGCGCCGCCCTGTTGTGCCCATAACTTCCAAACCCGTCATGCTTCCTCCCGTGCAGCCTGTCCGCAGACCCACCCTGCGCTCCGAGGCCTTGGTAAGACTCTGCTTTTCATTTCCTGAGTCTGTGCTTGGAAAATATGACCCTACAGGACGTCTCAGAACAGGCTAGAATGAGTCAAAAGCCTTCCTCTCTCAAGACTGAGTAAAGAAAAACCCAACAAATTGCAAAATGTTGGCAGGAAATTCACGTGTTTATTTCTGCAAGGACAGTACAAAATATTTCAACGGGAAAGTCCTTGCCTATTCTAAAATTTTTAAATGTCTTAAAATACAGGTAATACTTCATAGGTACTTTTAGTAATTGGAAGAGCGTGGCTTATAAAATATTTAATCAAGTGGTGCAGAATGATATCATAGGTGACCTACAGTATTACAGATGTCCAGTAATGTTCAGAATCTGTTAACATTGACATTGTTTTATGGGAGGATTGATGTTAACTACTTTGACTTTATGGATAATGGATGAATAAAGGCATCCTGCCAGTCAGCATGACAAATATGCATCTCCCATTGCTTATTATGTCTAATTTCCAGAGTTATTACATTAGGAATAAAGAATCGTTTTCTTCTTGTCATAATATTATATTGTAGAATTAAATTAATGCCATTTACTATGCCTGCCTTTAGTTTGATCTGTGAGACTTATTTTCTGCCGGGGAGGCCACAGCCACAGCAGAGAATCTGCCTGTTGAATTTCTGTAGTGTAATTATAACAACTCAGATGGACATTCATCTGGAAGTTCCATGTTGTGTTTTTCGTCTGGTCCCAGTGGAATGCAACCAGAGTAGATCACAAATGTTACTTGGACTAAACCAAAATCCTCCAGTGCCAGCTATTTGTGATAGGATTCATTGTTTCATATTTCATTTGTAACTTGAACTGAATGTAAACCACTTAATTTATTAGACATAACGTTGAAGAACATTTATAATTGCATAATTATGAGCTTTGGGGAGGACACGTCCAGACCTAAAAGCTGGTGAGAAATTTTGTCACTTTTTGCTACCAGCTGAACAATTCTAAAAAAGCATTTTATTTATGTCTTTAATTAAATGTGTTTTTTTACTTGTTTTTTTACGTGGGAAGGATAAATACTCTTGTTGAGAAAGTTTTGTACATCAGTTACAATAATAAATACACAAGTCTTAACAACTTCTCTTGTATCTTATAAATTATATTGACGTGAAGCTGTGCACCTTGTTAACGTTTGCAAACATGAATGCACAGTTGTATTTGTAACGGCATTTTATTGCATACAAGCAGGTGTTTGATACTAAAGTGGGTAAAATTAGAAATAACTTCACTGGTTAATGTCATAATTCGGTTCCAAAGGCTGGACTGTACAAAAATAGCATGTGATAAAACCATCACAGAACAGCTGCTGTTTGATGTACTGTAGTCATGCCTCCAACTGACATCAGTATTTCCAGTTGCCTCCTTTAACCTTCTAGTCCAGCAGCATCATTTAAAAGTATTAGCTTGGAGATCTAAAACTAAAAGACTAAGTAAATGCTTTATATGCTGTCAGGACTAAAAGCTGTTTGACTTGCTAGAAATAAATAGAAATCTTTTTAATATGTTTATCAGGATATTTCCTGCATTGTGTTCTACTACAGTACTGTACGTGCTGATCTGCAGTCTCAAATTGGGCCACCAGTTTTGGAGTGTTTTGTTTTCTTCTGCTGGGTCAAAATGCTCCAGGAGGTTACTTAGAAAATGCCTTAAAGGAATTACAAGATTTCAAATTAAATTTACATTTTCACAAAACAATTAAATACATTAAATTAATAAAATACAATGTTTAGGAATCTCGTTTTAACAGTGTATATTTTTAATGATATTCAAAATTGATACAATACCATGTTTTTTCTTGTGTGACATTTACATTCAGTCCAGTGCATGTAAAATGATCTTCAGGAGTTGTCCTCTGAGTGAAGGACTGTACTCTGCCCACCCACGTATGCAAATGAGCATGATAATTAAGTGATGCATGTATCCATGTATATGTTAGCATTCTAAGTTAAATTAAACATTTACTGATTAAATTAGAAAACTATTATAATATTATAAATTATAAACCAACAACAAGTCTTTAGTATTCTCTGACACTGAAACCCTTAACATAATTTCTTGGTACAGAGTAATACAAATTTTGAATTTTATTTCACTTGTTTTTATTTATCATCCGTTCTCTACAAATTAATTTAGAAATTCTTCCAACATGATATGAATGAACATGATAAAAATAAAGAGTGTTACTGTGCATGTTTAGCAATAAATTATTAGTCTGTAGCACCGTACAAATCTTCACACTGTTCAGTGAAATGTGACAAACATTGTTAAATGTTTTTTTAATGCCCCAATACTGTATCCTGATTTAAAAACAATCTGTGGTACACCACAGTTTGGACAGGGAAACACCCATACATTGTTAATATAAAAAAGGCCTGGCTCTTGTCATGACGTCTACAATGAAAAAGAGATAAACATTGACAAGGTATGACAGTACAAGTTGGCATAATTGTTGATAATTGTATGAATGCTTTATTTGTCATCCAGACCCTCATCCAGATCTAAGCAGAGGTAAAGGGCAAGCTGTCACATTCTCAATAATTAATGTGTACAGCCCTGAAGATTAAGTATAAGTTACTCATTTCAGGACAGGACTCAACAAAAGGGTCTATTCTGTTTTGTTCTAAATAACAAATCACTGCTTGTTTAATAGGTGTGGTCTTAAATGTGTGCTTCCTAAATTAGGTTCTAAAATATAACATTGAATATTTACACTTCAAGAAAAAAATACAGCCAAATATAACAAAGCAAAATGATCCCACCGGACATGCAGCTACAGTACTATACCTGAAAAACAGCAGAGAGGTGATTGAAGGAAAAGACTGACATGTAAAAAGAAGCTGAGAACCTCTTTGCTATAATGTGTCTTACTGTTCTGAACTACTAGGACTTGTACCTGCAGCTAGGTCATAAGCATGGTCTCTAATGAATTGTTGTACGTCTCACAGAAGACATCCTAATGTGTTTAAATGGATACTTATTTAGTGTGGGCTTTCTGCCTCGACCTTTTCAAATATTAATAGTGTCCGTTCTGCACCCTGTAAGATTTTTTTTTTCCCTCCAGTCATACCGTAGCATTCAATCAATAGCCACCACACAGCAATGGTAACACAACCTGTTCTTATACTGTATAGTCTTAAATATGCAGGTATGGTACCTGCTTCCAGTAAATAAGAATGTATCAAAGTGTAATATACAGTAGTAACACAGGACTGCACAATATACAGTACATTTTGTTTTTATGACAGGCAACCTGATCATAATGTATTAGCGCTGGCATCCCAAAGCACATGTTCCTTTACACTAACTTAATGCAGTTTGCCCTTTATCACTGGCTCAGTTATAATTTCATAAAGATCATTCTGCCTGAGTGTAATGAATGTACAAAGTACACAAAATCTGCTACACATTCCCTGCTTACTTACATATATATGCAAAATATGCCATAGTATCTATTGTTTGTGCACATTTAAGCATTTATTTTGAAGGTTCTGTTTTTTCTTCAAAATTAGACTAATCGATAAGTTAACCAGCTAGGAAATGTTTTCCATTTCGCTAGGTGATGACTTTTAGATTGCCTGCAACCCAACCACTTGAGCTCATAAAGTTAGTTTTGATTTAATGTCAATTGTTTAATGTCAGTTTAAAAGTGCATCGATGCAGTATAGTATAAGGTACTTTTAGTACCTTGTTAATCTATAGCATTGGTAGTAGTGATTGGCACTGGCAGCAGCGGCGATAATTGTTCTTAACCTGAACAATATTGTCTATGAAATAAAATTACATAGAGTAACATCAGGAGCATGGTAATCGTGATATTCTTTATTCACAAACCAATTTATTTTCTGTAGTATTGTGTTTCGGCAGTAATTATAGACAGGTCCTCTGTAGTGGATTCTTATGTCTTTTCCCCAGTTTAGCTAACTTTATGATGTACAGTATTTCTGAAGTAGAAAACAGTTTTTGTGTAGAATCCATCTTTGATGGTTTTTGTTGAAGATTTAATTGAGGTAGAAACAGTGGCATGTTGTAAAATTAGTGTAAAATCCCTGATATACCATTGCAATTCTGATGAGAAATGCTTGTAAGGAAAATTGCCCAAATAAGCAGTTTTATACTGTGGAATAAGCAATTTACAGTCAGCGGAGCCTGAAAAACAATAATTGAAAATCTTTAAAATTGAACCAACAGAGGGCCTTTTGTTGTATAATAGAGTGCTGCAGTAAAGGATCATACTGTATTAAACCTGAATCCAGAAAATCGCTTCAGTTCTTGCCCATCTTCAAAATACGTTTTTGAAATATCACAAAAATACCAAAGGTATTGAACAGATTTGTCTACAAATACTTGCATTTACATACTCCAACAGAAGCTCGATTAGAACTTGGAAAGGAGTACAATTTAATTTAGTTTCTGTTTGTAAAGAAATCCTCTGTAGTTTTTATGTTGGTTGGACCCCAAATCTCATTTGGGGAGCAGTGAAAGTATGTCATCTGGAAAGAAATTGAATCAGTTTTATGAAACACAGTGTATTTATATTTTTTATTATTTGAATCATAAATCTTTTCTGTCCCAATTCTGTTACATGAAGATAAACACTTGAAATTAACAATGATGTAATTTATGTGAAATTTGGTCCAATCTGAGCTGTTTTAGGGCTCTGTAGGTTAAACATTTTAAAGCAGCAATCTTTGTGTGAATGCCTTAAAAGAAAATTGAAAACAGAAAATGCCCTAATGCTTTTCTGCAGCCTTGTAAATTAACAAAGAATCAAAAATGTTTTGTAGATTTTCACTCCTTTCTGGGGCATGCTTTTATTGCTCTCTTGGACTTGCTGTTTTTCAGCTGACCACTCCAGACATACTGCTAAGTACAAGGACACCCAAAACACATACGTACAGTAGTTGACACAAGTAGCTGCCCATTAAAATCATTTTGAAAGGTTGTTGTGATGGACCCCACCCTTAGTTAAGGAGGTCCCAAGGTTCTGCATACATGATGCCCATTGAAAAAATTGTGGGAGCGTTATTGCAGAATACTTCCATTTTTTATAAACAGAACTCTACAGTTCTTTAGTCAGGTTCTACCACACCTCCAACCATAAGTACTTTGAATGGACATAAAAGGACTGTATTTCACTATGAAGAACATACATCTGTATGGATTAGATAATATTCTCGGAACAGTTCTAACCAGCTAATTAGGTGCCTTCTGAGTCAGATACAGCACAGTGACATGTTAAACAGACCTGGTACTGACAAAATACTTGCAGTTCAGATTTTATGGGGATCCTGGTGCAGATTTGATCATGATCTAACAGTAGGTCCACCTTTCATATAGAACGTATGTTGATTCTATTCTGTATGTAATATTAACCAGGGTACTGTATTCCTGTGAATCTAATTGTTCTATCTAATCTTATTTTGCAGCCACCAGAGATGTTAAAAAGGATGGTGGTCTATAATTCCTCTTTCAGATCCAACAGAAAACAAGTAATTAATTGCAGTCATCTCCCTCAAGTGGCTTGTCAGCTTTACTCTTCATTTTCCAGTGTGACTGTTTTAAGAGTGTGAACCTTTTTTAAATTCACCACACATTTCAGATACTATATAATTTCCTTACGACTGTAATTTTGTAAGTCTCTTGGCTTTATGTTTATGCTTTACAATTTTCCTGTCACCTATTTTTGCTTACTTTACAATGGCGTGCAATTTGCTGCTATTAAACAGCAAAACATTGGTGAGATATTTCAGCCTTCCTTCTATTAATCTTGTTTTGAGTGTTTATTTTATTTTTTTATGATCCTCCCATTTGAAACCAATTTGAGTCTCAGAAAAGGACATAAATTTAACTTTCAATTTGTTCAGATTGGATGCCTAACCCAATAAGTGGTAAACCTAAGAGTCCTGATAAGGGGCTTTACAAGTGTTTTTATGGTATCATGTGACACAGGAGATCTGTGCTTTATTGTGCATCCGTATAATAAGATACACTTACATCTCTAACAAAACATCAGAAGTAAATAAAAGGAAATTTGTTCTCATTATTATTCCAAACCACTGTTTAGAAATATCATATAGTGCAGTAATTTGGCAGAGTAGGAGAGAAGGCATCATTTATAAAACAAAATGTAAGAAAGACTTATTTTCTTTAAATAGCAGTGTTATTTTCATACAGTACATCCAGTAAATGTAATTGTTGTTTATTCAACACATTGCCGAGGTTGCACAGCTCTGTGTGTTTTGGCATGAATATTAACTGTTGCTTCATTAAGATTCGCTTCAGACATGCAAGTGATAATGTTGTCTGCTCTCATGTGAAAGGGTTACGATGCCCTTGGGAGGAATATATCTGCACCTCAGACAGGTGGCTGTGAAATACAGAGAGTTGACTTAATTTTCTCTTTGCTGGAAATGTCTGTCATGGGATGTTCTAGGCAGCCCAAACAGTTTATTAAGCACTCTGCTAATCCAGATCTTGCATTGGCAGGGGAGTAATGATCACGTCCCCACACACCTTCCAGACATTAAGCAAGACCATTTATTTTCTTCCAAGCTTTCTTAGCACAAGTTTCTCACGATGATCCATTAATGGTAGTGTCATTTGAGAACTTTTAAAATACTGAATTATTTTATGGCATTTTTAAACTGGAATATCAGAGATCAAATGTCTATGAAGGTTACCTTCAACCTGAATCTAGTTGACTTACTCCTACCAATACTGAGACTTGTAGTGCTACAGTAAGCAACACAGGCGCTTATCTGATGAATGCGCTGATGTACTCAAGCCCTTTGCAATGAAGGGAACCAAAGCTCACCCAGGAAATGACGCTATTTATTTTTGGGAGTGCTGAATTCAATCTCTTTCATGTGTAATGTCTTTAAATGTATTATTCATTTACACTACTTCAACACATTCAAATATAAAGATACTAAGATGTAATACTTAACCCCCCCCCCAAATTATTTTATATTCTAGCTAAAAGCTCTATTTGGAGGGTTAGTACTACCTTCTGAGACCTGACAATGATATAGTATAGCTGCCTCTTTATTTTGTCACAGACAGAACATTCTGTCAGATGACTTAGGGAAGATAAATGTGTACGGTTTGGGAGTGGGTAGGAGGGATGTTTTTTATGTTAGATTGTAACATTTCTTCATCAAGGCAGTCTGTACTGGTTTCCATGAAGAAATCTCTTTCTAGCTTACATTTCATAACTATTTAAAAACAAACAAGGACATGTGCAAATGTCTGGTTCTGAAAACCGATTTTTCTACCTTCTAATGTGATTATATGAAAATTGTGATGCTGCTTAATATAATTTCATTAGAATTATGATGTAACATTTTTTTCTTATGGAGGTCGTATTAGTATCCATATTCCTCTCACAATTTATCATTTATTAATGAAGAGTAACTTATTGTAAAGTTTCATAATTTAATGCTTTAGATGTACTGAAAAAAATTACAAAACATGAATTAAAATCCTTCCAGAAATAAATGTTGTCAAAAGGAATTTATGTGCTATTTACCACAACTATGTGCTTTCCTTTGTTGTGTTTTTTGTGTTGTCTGTCTTTAGAGGCAATTTTAGAATGTACAGTACAGTATATTAAATTTCTTAATAAAT